CCACAGGAACAGGCTTGCTGCAGGTATCAGAAAACCCAAGGTCAGGCTGGGCGCGGTGGCTCAAGCCTGTAATCCCAGCACTTTGGGAGGCTGAGGCGGGTGGATCACGAGGTCAATAGATCGAGACCATCCTGGTCAACATGGTGAAACCCCGTCTCTACTAAAACTACAAAAAATTAGCTGGGCATGGTGGCACGTGCCTGTAATCCCAGCTACTCAGGAGGCTGAGGCAGGAGAATTGCCTGAACCCAGGAGGCGGAGGTTGCGGTGAGCCGAGATCGCGCCATTGCACTCCAGCCTGGGTAACAAGAGCGAAACTCCGTCTCAAAAAAAAAAAAAAAAAGAAAACCCAAGGTCACAGTGGTTTAAACAAGTTTATTTCTCAGCCATGTAGGCAGGAGGAGGCAGTCCAGGGCTGAGAAGCCTGAGGTCTCAGGGAGGCAGGCTCCATCTGCTGCTCCGTCATCTTGGTTCACGCCTCTCTCCTAGGGGTCACCTCTGTGTTCAAGGAAGTGCTCAAGTTCAGGCTGAGCTAGGGTGTGTACGGTGGCTTCCAACCAGCATGTGACACCCCCAGGCAGCTCCCTGCTGTGCCTGGACCCACCTATGACCTTGGCTTACTGCATCTTGCTGGATTCCCCATCTTGGTCTTGCTGGCTGTTTTTAGAGACTGAGCCCATAGTCTCCAGGACTCAGGTGACTTTGGCTACCCCTGGAGTCCTGTATTAAAGATCTGCAATAGAAATGTGTCCAGCAGGGAACTATCCTGCTTGCTTTTTGCTTTTCTCAGTTCCTGCAGTCAACTGGCCAGAGCACTCTGTGGGGCACGTGGACACAGGCCCTGGAGTATGGCCACTTCTGCCTGGTGTCTGGGGGGCTTCCTGAGTGAGGCGAGGGGGTCTCACCAGCTCCGGGGGACACTGCTGCCACAAACAGGGTAGGGGTAGGGGTGGAGGATCACCTCTGTGAGGACACAGGCCTCACCCTCTGTGGCTGTGGTGGAGACCGCAGGTCCGCCTCAAGGCCCCTGACACCTGCAAGGCCAGTGCGTGGGAGACACAGAGAGGGGACTCCACCAGGCCAGCCGGGGCTTGAACCCCAGCCAGGGCAGGTGCAGTCTGCTGCCCCGCCAGGTAATGCACCGACCCAGCTGCTGTTCAGCTCCCCTTCAGGCAGGCGCCGTGTTCATGGCATAGGTCAGCTGGGCCCTCTGAGCCCCCCACTCCCACATGGACCAGTCTGCATGGATGATGGTGCCACCTGTGCTGTCCAGACCCTGCCCAGCTGCGCTAATGGCCAGAGCCATTAAGTGACTCCCAGCACTGGAGTCACTTCAGCTGCTCACCCCTCCCTGAACAGAGACATCCCTGGGCATGCTCTGGCCACCCCACAAGAGGTGGCTCAGGGTGGGAGGGCTGGAGGCTGCCTACATGGGGCAAGGCCTCCTCTGGGAGATAGGATGGGGTGGGACAGGCAGGGTTCCCTCCTCACCTGATGGGCTCTTGAGGCTAGGCTGCCAGCAGGCAGCAGGGGGCTGAAGCAGTGGGGTCAGGCCCGGGGAGCGGGGGCCCTGCCTTCCTTCCTCAACACACGGGGCTGCCCAGGCCCCGCTCCTGGGGCCAGGCCCACACCCCACAGATACTGGTGTCAGATGCCTCGGGCTCAGGGGAGCTCCACATGGACCAGCCGCAGCTGCGCCTGGGTCCGCCTGGCCCAGGCAATACCACAGCCTTACCAAGGCTCATCCAGCCATGGGCCCAGCCTCCCAGGCCCTGCAAGGCACCCCAGTCTCTGGCAGCTCACATCCCAGGCAGCTCACGGTCACCATCCTTGACTTCCTCATGGCAGAAATGGAGGAGCTTTGAGCTTGTGATGAGCACAGGCTCCCAACCATAGGAGACTCCAGATGTGCCTGCTGGAGGGGCTGCAGGCCCTGATGATACCCACTCCTCAGACATGCAAACCTGGAGCCAGGGAGGCCTCAATGAACCACATACTATCCCAACCGACCAGCTTACCCCACACCAGCGCCAGGCCCTTTCAGACCCAGTCTGGCCACTCCAACAGACTTGGCCAGCACCTCCCCTGGCCCCACCCTCTCCAGACAGGAGCCAGGCTGTGGCGACCCGCCTCTCAGCAGGCACAGCTCCTCTTCTGATGCCTCCCCCAGATTAAGTCGTTAACCCCTTGTCCACCTGACTGGGCTGCACGTGGCCTTGGTACAGAGCCAGGTTTTAGTAAAGGGTAAAAGGGCTTCCTTGCTGTGGTTTACAAGAGAATGCAATACCCACCCAAAGCTACTTCATGACCCACCATGACCTGCACCACCACCCAGCCCATCCACAACTCTCAGTGTCACAGGCCACCAGCCTCTGAAAGCAGGCACTGCACAAGCCACCAGGCCGCAGAGGATGTGGGCAGGGAGGACATTCTGCCTTCACAAGAGCATGCTCTCAAAGACAGAGCCACCCCAAACTGTCAGCAGGTAACCCTGAGCTCTGGGAAGGCAAGGGGAGGGGCTCAGAGCTGTGACCAGAGCCCACGGGAAGCCTGTGCCCCGCACTGCAGGGCTCTGGCCACTGCCGAACGCCCTGTCCACGAAGCCCTGCCCGCCCTCTCCAGCAAACCAGGGCCCCTGAGGCTCCAGAGGCCCCAGTTCCACTGCCCTCAGCCTCCATGCCCTCAGCAGCTTAGCTCTGGGGCTGAGCTCCCAGAAGGGTAGGGTCCGGTGGGCTCCCGAGTTTTATTTTCTCACATTTCTTCCAAACATGCTTCTGCTGATCCTCAAAATGGCAAAAGCCAAGATGCTCAATTTGCAAAGCTCAACAACTGATGGCACATTTCATAACAAAAATCAGTAATATTTAGAAACAAATTTGATTAAATTCATAAGTGTCTGAATAATTATACTCTTAGATTTAATATAAAATGTGTGAAAGCTTATTCGAAGGCCAAATGCAATTACTGCAGAGCATTAAAAACCAGTAGGGGGAGTGCTGTCAGCCCAGCTGGTGCTGTGTCTCCCCAAACCCATGTCATGTGGGGTCACCAGGCTGTCTCTCCCTGTCAGGTGTCAGTGAGGCGCTGGGCATGGGCTCTGGGTTTGGGCCCTTCAGCACCAGCACTTCTCTGACCACTGGACTTCATTGCCACCTCAGAGAACTCTACCAGCTGCCTGCCTGAGGCACCGAGACTGCCCCCTTCCCCAACACTGACTCTGGGGCCCCTTCAGCAGAGAGGGTCTGCCCCTCTGTTCACGTACCCCTCGGTGCCTGGCCACAGCAGGTGTGACAGTAATGCAGAGAATCTAACTTACATGTCATCAAACCCAAATCCAACAGGGGTACCCAAACCAGACTGATGGGCCTGCCAACCTCCACCCACAGGAACACACTGGTGACTTAGAGCAGTGGACCCAGGAGGTGGCTCCTCCTCCCAGCAGCCTTTGTCCCCAACTCCTTGGACATCCCTTAGCCCAGAGTGAAGGGTCAAGGGCACACCTGACCCTTGCACAGGGCCAGAGGGAGTCAGTCTAGCCAGGAAGTCAGCAGGAACTAGCTTCCCACACAGGAAACAGGGCAATGATAGCAGACCACGTCCTCACTATCTCCATCCACCCACTCACTCCAGGTCACCAAGCTGCACCCTGCACCTTTGCTCCGACATCTAAAGTCTCCAAGTCATGCTGGTTCTCTCCTCCCAAAGATCTGCTTGGATCTGTTCCCTTCTCCCATCCTTGCTGCCACGAAGCTGTTCAAAGTCCGAAGCTGAGTGCACGGTCAATCCCTCCACAAATCACAGGGCAACGACTGCCTGCCAGGCGCAGCAGTGAACAAAACCTGCCCCTCAGTCTGGGGCGCTGGTGCGGAGCCTCCCGCCTGGGTCTGCGCCTGGGCCTGGGCCCCTACAGCGTCACCCCCTCCTATGTCCCAGCCAGAGGCGCCGCCACCTCTGGGCTCTCCCTGGCCGGACCGTGCACCCGCAGCTGAATGAAGCCGCGGCGCTGCGCAGTTCACAAGCTCCGTGCTGCCGCCGCGAAGCTCGCGCGGGCCCTTCCCTGCTTCCAGAGAAGCTCGGCCCCTGCTGTTCCCCCGTCAGACGCACCCTTCCACTCGGGTCTCAGCGGCAGGGTCACCACCCCTAGACGCCCCCCTTTGCACCCCATCTCCTACCCTCCAGCTCGTCGGTCTTCCTGCCCACATTGCCCACCTGCCGCGCCCACCCGGTGGAGCTCCACCTGCGTGGAGGCCGCGTCCACGCGGGCACCCCAAACGCCACCAGTAGGTTTTGACCACACGAACGCACGCCCTGCCCCAGCCCATCTCTCCGAGCTGCCTCCAGCCTGCGGGTCCCCACGTCGCGCCAAGCAACGCCGTGGAGCCTGCGCGCCTTTCTTGTACGACTACCCCGCCGCGGCGGCACAGCCGGGCCCGGAGCCCAGCGTCAGGTGTCCACGGCCGGTGTTAGGGGCCAGGTAGGCCTAGGCGGGCCCAGTGCATCCGCGCAAGGAAAGGGACCGGGCACGGCCGCGTTAACCCTCTCAGCGCCAGAGGAGGAGCCTTGGTCATCGCGCGGCCCTCCCAGCCTCAGCAGGCTACCCCTGTGCCCGCTCCAGCAAGCGTGCAACCGGCCGGGTCAGTCACAGAGACATTTCCGGCGGGAAGACACCGCGAAGGCTCCAACGCTGCTCACACACACTGCCTTGACTCTTTAACACTTCACCGCTCGCGCCCATTGGCCCAGGCGTTTACGTCATCGCTGCGCGCCGGACGGCACCGTCTTCCCGCTCCTTAACTCTGACGTCAGAGCGGAGCCGGCTTGAGCGGCTGAGAAAAGCAGGAGGAGGTGTCGGCGGCGGGAAGATGTAAGTTGGGGTGGAATCCGACCGCATCCGAGGTTTGGGGGCTGCCCGTCAGGCCCGGCAGGAAACATCGTGAAGGTGGCCCACTCCCCAGCTCCGCAGTGCGGCGGCAGCCTGGCGGCGCGGTGCGGACTCTGAAAAGAAAGAGTGTGGCCCGCAGTGGGCGGGGTGGGAGGTGTCGTGGCCGTGGCCCGGAAGTGGTCGGGGCCGCGGCAGACGGAAGGGCGCCTCTGCTTCGTCCGCTCGGCGGCGGCCCAACCAGGCCCGTGGGACTCTGAGCAGCGGGGAGCGCGGCCTCCGCCCTTGGGGCCCTCCTGCTGGGCCGGAGACCCAGGCCCCCAACGCCAGGCCCTGCCCTAGAAGCGCTCGCGGCCCGGCGCCTGGACGAGGGAGTTGTGAGTGAACGCGGACGGGGAGCGGCGAGGTCGGCGTGTCGGGCCGGTGCCGGCGGGCGCGGAGTTTCTTTGTGGGATACAGTGGCAGGCTGGCCGATCCCCCCTTCCGAGGCATTAATGCAAACATGCACTCCGCGAACGTTTCCCGGGCTCCCGTGTGCAACTCTCGGCGCTAGGCCTGGGGGATATGGCCCACTATGGACCGAGCACGGTGGCCTAGCTCAGTTTGATGGGTTACTCCAGAGGGGTGGATACGGGAAAGTTAAGGTTGATGGAGGAGAAACGTGGAGTAGGCTTTTTGTCTTGATTTCGCATGAACTGTGCCTGAAATGTACTTTTAAGTGGGGAAGGTGCTCTGAAGATTTGTGCCGAAAAGCCCTCCTCGAGATTTAACTAATTGTTCTCTCCTCTCTCTGGCTGTTGGACGCGCACCTTTCCGGAGGATGGGGGAGGTAACCGAGGTCCTGAGCCGGTACCTGAACTTGTGTGAACAGAGAACCTCAAC